CTTTCTTCTTTCCTTCTGAGACTCTTTGCGAAAAACTCGTTTCTTACAAGCTGCAATGTCCATGCTGCCGTGATGCTTCGAATCTGCTGCAGGGGTGAAGCACGGCATCTATAGCGCAACAGCAGCTTCGAAGTGGATCTCTGGCGTGAAGCAGGGGAATGATGGGACAGTGGTTAAAGTTGCCCCGTAGCTTTCATAGTAACACGGAGGCAGCAAGTAGGCGACTCCTTCGGTCTCGGTCCCGTTCCGTAGACCGCGATACGAGTTGGAAAGTTCATCGCGAGTAGTGTTAGTTGCGACGACAAGGCGGTCGTGGCCTCATCTTGGTCTTTCAACATGTTTCTGTTTCTTCAGAACCCTGTCCACGTGGAAGGCCACCGGTCAAAGGTCACACAGGCCACGGCTGACGACGTCAAGTCTGAACGGCAAGGCTCAAGCAGACGCAGCAAGGGTTGCCGTCCGTGATGAGCAGCTAGGAAGGGTAGTGAGGTGCCGGCGCGCCGGGAGAAGACCTTCCCACAAGCCGATCTCCATCGCATATTGCAAAGTGGCAGCGTGGCTAGGACCGATGGCTTTCTCTGAATGAGGGGGATTAACACTAGGCCAAAATGTTTGTACCGCAACGAGATGGCCAATGGATATGCAAGGCAGATCTTCCAAGGTTTCATGTTTCAGGCTTGGTGACGCCCGCTCTGACCAGGCCACGTTGGCACTCCATTTTAGCTGACCAGACGGCCGGATCTAGGACTGCTCTGCAGAAGGGTAGGCTCCTTTTGGATGGTTCCCAGGCGGTCTGGTCTGAAACGTGAGCGGCGCGCTCTAGGGGACATATTTGGGAATATCGTCAGTTTCCAAGGAGTCAACTGTGTCGGCAAATGCCAAGTCTTGGTTGACCGTATGTGTTCCCCTCTCCTTGGGTGGCGACTTGGCGGTGATCGGGCCATAACTCATTTCCTTCGCATGACTGCAGTGACTGCATGTCCCCACAGTCGTGGACTGCTTTCGCCGAAGAATCAGCATCAGGAGCAGATGGGGATAAGCAGGAGGTGCCCTGCACGTCTTTCTGTGCAACGACGGCACAAACGGCTGCGTATCTTTCCAAAATAGCAGTGTTGGCGTAACCGAATCCACCAACATGCCGTGGAATGGCACCTCAGCGCTGTCAATTTCGCAGACCGTGGATCAAAGGTTGCAGGAAAAAGAAAGGTGCCGTATATCTCACTCGGTGTATACATATGTCAGGTGTCTCCTAGTCCTGAATTTTCGTAGCAATCAGAGGTGTCACAGGAATAAGTGCGCCGTTTAGAGGTAAGCTATGTGTCGCATGGCGCCTCTTACAAGCAGAGAAAAGTCAAAAGGCGGCTCGAAATGACAATGTAGGTGATTGGCTCGAGATGTGCCAAAGAAGGTAAAGAGGCTCTGGAAGGGGTGAAGCCCAGCCAGGATGATCCACGATGCGCAAAGTGACGGTGAGCGCCCCTCTCCACGTTAGACGTGCCTTGGGCTCAGACTGGCGTCGCCGTGTTAATTAATCTGAGGAGACGCCAACGCCGAAAGGTAAGCAGAAATGACGCTCCGGAGCCCCCCAGTCTTGCGAGCCATTGCCCATATACGGAGTAGAGACTGGAGAGGTGGTGCAGTGGTGCCGTAGTGGTTGAGTCTTGGTAGTCCCTGGTGTCCAACGAAGCACCAGTGAAGACAAGGCGGGATATTGGCGCCCAGAGTAGGGAAACCAGGGATGCAGGGCAGCGGAGAGGGTGTCGAGACGTGCGACACGACTGGTTTCAAGCGATCCAGCCCCGAGTTGAGTGCGGGAGTGCGCCGGAGCCAATCACCGGTGGACGCGGGCCATGCTGCCGGCCTCTGCAACTCTGGCGAATCCTCCATCGGCCTTGTCACTATGAACTCCTGCAGTTCTGTTGTGCTGTCCTCGGCGAACAGCTTACACTTGACTTTTCTAGCGGGCACCTCTTGATTCGTCGATAGGTAGTTCACGATGGTCGGTGGCGACCTGCTCCTCCTGGCAGACCGCGAAAGCAAATAAGGGATTGCGGCCAAATTATCAGGGTGTGTTGGTCTGCTCGTTGGGCCTATCACGTTGCAAGGAGTCGGCTCCATTGTATGGCGTCCATTCGACGGACAAGATCTCCGCCTGTTGGTCAGCGGCCAAACCATTTTCTCGCCTATCGTGTAATCGTGTCATCGTCCCAAGCAGAGTGGAACCGGCGGAGGTATCATCACAGCGGGGATCTCTGGCCCTCTCGTGATCCGGGCGAGACGGACAAGCTCTCGTTGTTGACAGCGTCTGGTTGCGACGGTGACCTTCTCCAAGGAGCCGGGTATTGTTGTGGAGGGCTCATGCCGGACCTTGGTGTGTATCCGTACGGATAGTGTAGACCATGGAACATGGCATGCCAAAGTGTACGTGTGATGGGCCGCCTTGTCACTTGCACCCGAGAAGGGATCGTGAGCAGGCCTCTGCAGGTGGGTTACGGGTAGGCTGACGATAAGACGACGTCTGGCACCACGGAGGCGAGGCCGTGCATGATGGCGTGGCTACTTAGCACTCAGTATTCGTACGCCATGGTGGCTTTCATGGCATGGCCGAAGCCATCGCTGTGGAAAATTGTGTTCCAGAGGAAATTGCATCCCATCTTCGTCGGGAGTCAAGGGCGGCAGAGGTTCGAAGAGAGGCGCCGTGACGTGGCTTTGGTGAACAGAGTCTGAGGCTTTGAATAGGAACAGTCTTGCAAGCAAGGGGCGGGCGGCGCGCGCAACCAAGCGGGTGTGCTGACGGGCCAAGAATAGCAAAGAAAAGACTCGGATGGGCGCGTGTAGGATTGTTCCAGAGGTCAGCGAGAAGCCGGGATGTTCTCTGGTTTGTTTGAAGAATAATCTGAGCTTGGTCGGCAGCTGAATAAACTACCATCCGCCATCCGCCACTATTCACGGATTCCGTGGCTGGACGTGGTTGCTATTTTGTTGCACCTCTTTTCTTCTTAGGGTCCCTGTAGGCTCTGATGTGTGTGGTCGTCATGATGAACAGGCCGTGATGGATCAGAAGCACGAGAGGGTCTCTTGTGGCACACTGCAATACAAGAACACGAGATATCGACTTGGCGACGATTGGCTGGGCGGCGGGGGTTGCATGACGGCGCATTGAGAAGGGCAAATTACACGTTGGGGAGACATTGGGGGGATATTGGGGACGTTTGGGGAGTAAGACGGCTTACGGCTGAGTAATTCCTCAGGACTTCCTCAGGTACATTGTCCATGTTTCTGGTTGGAAGCACGGGAAGGCACGCTCCAGAGTCTTTTGAGAGTGCCTTCCTCAGTGATGGGCAGTAAAATCCTAATGGAAGGTACTGACTGGGCAGTCAAGCAGTGAAGGCAAGTGCTAAGGAGGAGCCAGGACAGCTCAGGGCAGGTACTGACTGAGGGGGCAGGTGCCGCTGCAGAGCCAAAGTTTGGGTGGGGACGTGCGGCGTTGACCCTGCTTGAGCCAGTTTCATGAAGCCGCCGCCGTCGCCATACCCTTGCAAACGCCCTTTTAAAGGTTGCCATGTTGCCAAGGGTGCAGACAGGGGCTTGACTTCTCCATCCATGATCCGCCATCGCGCCTGAGACTCATCGTGGAAGGAGAGGAGAGAAAGACAGATGAAGCCTTTGGCCAGCGAAAACCTTGTTGAATCGACGTGCCATTTTGCCGTGTAATGTCGCTCTTTAGTGGACCGCAAACCCGAGGGAACCGGTCATGTTGGACAGAGATGGAGGCTCTTTGATGGCATCTTGGAACACATTGCTAGCGTAAGTAAGCCTCTTCGGAGTACTGTGTAAGCCTAAGCCTGTATGGCAGGTAGATAACATGCCCGAGCAAAATGAAGAAATACTACTCCGTACTCAAAGACTTGGTGACGAAGAAGAACAGGGGATAGCTGAACAATACATCAAAAGACCAGACCTCAAACAACGCGAACAAAACCTTGCCGTACGCCTCATCGTCGTCGTACCCCTTCGCAACGTTGCCTTTCGCTCATTGTCACCGTGGCTAAAAGCCCAAGACTCAAGGGCAGACTCCGCGGAAAGCTTCTCGAGTGTGTTTGTTTCCCCCAAGTTTCTGCCTCAAGCGAACAGACGCATCAGGGCCGTTGCGAGGACTGTGCGGCCTGTAAATCTCGTGTTTTGTAGCTCAGCTTTGCTTTGCTTTGCTGTACAGTGATACCGTCCGTTGTTCCAAGGTTGTACACACACAGCACCTCAGAGAGATTCCTTCTTTGCATTGGAGCCTCAGCCAAGTCCATTTCCTTTCACGGACTGCTGCGACAGCACACAAGTGACAAAGGAAGAAGAAGCATTGGAAGCTTGTTGCCGCCCTCCCCTCCTCTCCCCTTGCCCCCCTGCTGTATGGTCTGTGGTCTCTCACCTCAGGTAGAGTCTCTGTGGTGGTGCTTGCTGCCGCTACTGCTGCCCACCCAGAGATGAAGTATCTCTCTTCCCAAGTTATATGTGAAGATACCTCAGAGGCTGCTTACACCTGCACCACTCACACACCCCTCCCTGCCGCTGGCTCCCAAGTGCAAGTCCCCTGCACCCCCAAAATCCATCATTAACCCTCCCCTTCCCTCCTCTTTTTCCCTCCCGGCCGAGGTACCCGTAATTCCACACACGACCTTCACCCTCACCAAATTCCCTCCTCTGCGTCTCCAAGCAGAAACCAGACCTTCACGGTCCGGCACTGAAGAGGCTCGACATTCCCCGACCTGGATCCAGCGAGAGACACCTACATTCCACATTATCGCTATATCGCAACTTCTTCGCTTCTATCGCATCCGGCCCGACGCCTTGTTCCCTGTCTCGGACACCTGCTTGACGGAATCCTCTCTCGGCACGACGCGCTCCAGGAGAGGCAGCTGAGACAAACCCCTCCCGCCATCACCATCGCCATCGACCACGCCAACTTCACTCCAGTCAATGTCCACCTGACATATCACAATTCCAAGATGGCAATGCTTGCCCCCAAAACCGCATTCCCAGCACCGCTGGGCTCCAGCAATCCCATGGTTTCCAACGTTTCTACCGGTGCCGCACCGCCCTCAAGACGGGCACCCACAATCCCGAACCAGGCCACTGCCTACGCCAGCCCGACCGAATCCGAATTTTCTGAGAGCGACGGCCCCGATGCCGTCAAGAACTGGGACGAGGACAGGGTCTGCGACTACCTGAGGAGCGTCAAATGCGGCGAGTACGAGAAGCTCTTTCGTAAGAACCACATCAATGGCGAGAACCTCCTCGAACTCGACAAGGATGTCCTCAAAGAGATGGGCATCGAAAAGGTCGGCGACCGCGTGCGATTGTTCCTGGGCATTAAGAAGTTGAGGACAAAGGCCTACGCCAACCAGAAGAAACGGAATAGGGTACGTGCAAGACCGGCTCTCCCCCCCCCCCCCCCTCCCCTTGCGGCACCGTGAGACGCCGTCAGCAATGGGTAACACAGCTGACATTTGACCACTACAGGATTCGTTTGGTGGCCTCGACCAATTCACCCCGTCATCGGGCGGGTCTTCTCGACCATCTGCTTCAAGTGCTCGTACCGCCCCCACGCCTTCCATGAACAAGCGCTACTCAAGACAATACGACTCCCTTCCCCTGGAGGGCGCTTCTTCTCGTCCCAACTCACCCCTTCCCGGCACGGATGCCATCCGCCCTCTGCGAACAAGATATGGCCAAAGTCCCGGCTATGTGAGTAGCGCCGGGCAATCCGTTCCCCAGACCGGCCGATTGGTAACTTCCCATACCAGGAATAACTCCAGTATGGATGGTTCACTGATGGCTGGCTTACCGCAGAATCAGGATGTTATCCGCGTCATTTCCACCGGAGGAGTCACAAAGGTCGTCAAAATCGCTGACTGCAACACGTGTGAGGAGGTCATGCGAGTTACCCTTAGGAAGTTTGCTCTACGAGAGGATCATGAGAGGAACTATTGCTTCTGGGTACTGGCCGGAATTGAGCCGGACCCGAACCAATGCCGGCGACTCGGCGATACGGAGCTCTGGCGGATTATCAAGGACCAGAAACGCCCTGAGCGGAATCGCCTGATTCTCCGCCGTGTCCCTGCCGGCGAGCCCGGCATGCCCGAGCTCGAGAGAGCAGCGGGCATCGCCATTGAGGAGGCGCAGCAAAACCACAGTCGCGCCCTCGAGACTGTGGATAAGAGAAGCCAGATGAAGGTGCAAAAGCTTCTGGGTGAGAGATGGAACGATGAGCTGCAACATCCTCTCTCCCCGGTCTCTTTCCACGACCGAGAGCGCAATGTGTACAACACCGCCAAGGAGCTGGAACGTCCCGCATCCAACGACGGCCCTAGATCTGCCGGCGGACCCAGGAGGAATAAGGGCATCTTGCGGTCGTTTGGCGGGTTGCGTCCTCCCAGCGAGCTCATCGCCTCGGACCTCACATCCTATTTCCCGGATCACCCAAGAGAGGAGATTGACAGGACCGCTCGTCTGTCCATGAGAAGATCGACTCGTCTGAGCAAGGTCAACAGCCGTCTGAGTGTGGCTAGCAACCTCAGCTTCGCGTCTAGCATCCAAGATGCACCCCCTATTCCGACCATCGCCGACAGCTGGCTTCACGCTGGAAGTGCTCCGAAGGCGCGATCAGGCCTGCGGGTCACCCACTTCCGCGACTCTGTCGCCTCTTCCATGCTCGACACCTTGCAAGAGGAGTCGCCTGTCGAGCCGAACCGCAAGTCCTATGTGTCATTCGCCGACAGCTCCGACGGTGCTAGTGCAGCCGCTCTCAGCGTGACCGACCCCGAAGGTAACGTTACGCGGCGAAGCTACTTCGAGACCGACGGCTCAACGGGTTCAGGTTCCCTCAAAGATCTCACGGCGGCGCTCAACGAAGACGGCGAGGACGCCGATGAGGAGCTTGAGAGCTTCCTCGCGGGAGAGTCCTGGTCTGACGACAAGTGGATGAAGGGAGCCCTCATCGGCCAGGGCTCCTTCGGTTGTGTCTACCTCGCCCTGCATGCCGTGACCGGTGAGCTTCTTGCCGTCAAGCAGGTCGAGGCGCCAGCCCCAGGTGCCAACAGCCAAAATGATGCACGCAAGAAGAGCATGATCGAGGCCCTTAAGCGGGAAATCAGTCTGCTCCGCGACCTTCGACACCCGAATATCGTTCAGTATCTAGGTTGCAGTTCATCTACCGAGTACCTCAACATTTTCCTCGAGTACGTCCCCGGCGGTTCCGTCCAGACCATGCTCAACTCGTATGGTGCTCTCGGAGAGCCCCTTGTGCGCAGCTTCGTCCGCCAGATTTTGACTGGTCTGTCGTATCTGCACGATCGTGAGATCATCCACCGAGATATTAAGGGTGCCAACATTCTCGTGGACAACAAGGGCACTATCAAGATTTCCGATTTCGGTATCTCCAAGAAGCTCGAGGCTACCAACATCCTGTCTGGCGCGAACAACAACAAGCACCGCCCCTCCCTCCAGGGCTCCGTCTTCTGGATGGCTCCCGAGGTTGTCAAGCAGACCTCATACACCCGCAAGGCCGACATTTGGTCGCTCGGGTGCCTGGTTGTTGAGATGATGACAGGCACACATCCGTATCCCGACTGCAGTCAGCTGCAGGCTATCTTCAAAATTGGTGGCGGTAAGGCGGCTCCCACGATTCCGGAGCATGCTTCTGAAGATGCCAAGACGTTCCTTGCCCAGACCTTTGAGATGGATCACAACCTGCGGCCGAGTGCGGACGAGCTGATGCTTAGCCCTTTCCTGGCTCCCATCACATAGTCTCTGCGTTGCAACAGATACCCCCCTCTTCGATTCTTTGGGCTCTTGCCGCTACACTTGTAGCGGGATACTGTCCTTTTTGTACCTATTTTTCTTACGACACTCAACTCCTCCCCACGTTCTCGCGCCAGGACGGGGGATTATATACTGGGACGAGGCATTGGATTGTCTCTCTTTTTTTGTACGTGCGAGCGGCCGCTGGAAGGACCCGACGATAAAGCATGGACATGGTTGGACTCCTCCTTGACATTCACGCATGGGCTGGCGAATGGAGAGAGGCTATAAAGATTTGGCATTTCACGGGCACCGGGGGGCATGAAACAAGAGAGTGTATAATAATATCTCGATGAGAAATGACACTGAAGAAGGGGAATAATGAGCCGAGAGTTATAGCACACTGCTTGCGCATCATGTGAGATGCCATTGTCCATCATGACAGTATCAGTTGACACCCTCAAAAGTCATCAACTGGGTGACCCGATGCTCTCGTGAACCTGCCCCAGCGGTATGGCCGAGGGTTCTTGCGACCCTAGGCGTCATAGTCAGCAACCCATCTCGTTTGTTCGCTCACTCAGTGGCATGGAAAGGAATTAGGAGAAGCTCGGATGCATCGCCTAGTCAGCCGCCGTCGCCATTCATTTCCCGCCAGCCCTAGTCTGAATACCCAACATCAAAACAAGTAATCAGTGAGCACTTTTGCCCATTTTTCTTCCTCATTGGGAAGAGAGAGAGAGAGCAGTACCCGAGGCAGGTACATAGTTTTTGCCATCCTCCGCGTTCCTAAGTAGGAAGAGACACGATCAATTCACCGATGGGCGGCGAAGTTTCTTCTCTATTAACTTTCACAAAGTTGTGTAAAAATCCTCCGTACGGATACTTTTGCGACTCGTGTCCGGAGTAGGGATAGTTGCCGCGTGTCATTTGCCTGGATTTTCCCAGTTTTGTGTACCCAAAGGGAAATGTCTCTGAGAAAGCCATGTGCTTGATTTCCATCTCTGCGCGGGGTGATAAATTACTCGTTTCCTTTTTTGGTGGGAGACTGGGAGTTGAGGTTGAGAAGAGAGATGATGATGATTATCTTCATTATTTTAAACCTCGTTGTTTATCCTATTCCCCTCATGCCCCCATGCTGCAGCTTTCCCCTCTCGGCGACTTTGGAAATACAGATCTGCGGGCTTGCAGGAGTGTGGAGTTTATGTTGTGAGCATGGCTTGCATGGGTTTGGTTGGTGTCTACTGGGGGGCTGTTTTTCTTTTTTTGCCTGGCAGCTTGCCCGGGTTTTGCTTTCCCTGCTCAGCGTTAATCTGATTCTTTGCTTCGCGAAATATTCGTCTCTTTTATCAAAGCCGTTGGAGTCTGGAAGACAGAGCATATGAGATATGCCTCATTGGATGAATGAGGGCTCATTGGATGAATGAGGAAAATGGAATTCAAGGTGCGAAAAAAGGGAAGACAAATGACCTGCCAAGCGCTTGATCAAATACATCTCCCGGCTCATTCTCACATTGAGACCGCCAGTAACACCCAAAGCTCGGTCCAAGCGTCTAAGAGAATACATAAAAGTGTACAGAAAAGGCTCCCGTATCCTTCGAGCAATCTGATGAAATGAATTTTGCCTGCACATGCAAGCTCCTGGGGGCTGGAGCTACTCGGGTTTCGAACTTTGAGATCGCCTTTTACTCCCCCCCAACTAGGTCAGGATTCTGGATTGCTGCTGATCATCGGGTTACGGATGTCTTGCAACACCGAGGCGGAGATGTGCCCAACTTCCCACTCTCCAAGCTCCAAGTGCTTACTTTTGCCTTCAGCTACCCAATGATCGTCTCTGGGAGAGCGTGATGGTCATCAAAGAAGAGCCAGGGATTTAGTCGCTGTCAACAAGAACTTGTTGGAAGTCTTTGGGGGGGAGGAGAGGGCTCGGACAGCCGTTTGTGGGCACCGCTAGACGGGCTCCCATGTCCTCTTCGCAGACGCTAGCAGCAACAAAACGTGCTTCGGGACGTTGCGATTTCCACTGCGTATGGGTGGTGAACATGGGAGCTTGAGGGGGGCCATACGGCATCTCAGTTCCGAGGTTCAGAGTGAAACTCGCCGGTCATCCTTTACCCTATTTTGCCGCTCTTTCTGTGATCCGTCATCTGCAAGCTGCGGACTCGAAGGAGGGGGGCGCGGGCTGCGGCGTTGACGTGATTTCCTAATGTTGGCCGCTGATTGAGGGTTAGCCGCGGAAGCCCGTCCGCTTCGTGATACGTCGTACTATCGAAACCTACTATGCGAGCCGCATTAGTTTCTTCCTCAAGTCTCGCAGCAGCTCTCGACAGCCTGCTTTTTCAGCCTCCAAGGCCTAGAACTAGACGGGCTGAGTCTAGAGAGACTACGAAGTCTAGAACCACCACTCCCGCCGCCGTGGTTCAGCGAAGGAACAGACAATATCGATCGTCGAGAAGGTAAGACAAGAAAGGACGCGTTCTTTTCTTGACCGGTCGAGCGAGCCGTGGCTTCCCGTGCTTTCCGTCCCTTCCCCGTGTCCGTCCTTGCCGTTAACGGAGAACGAGCTGAGACCTGCAGGAGACGGTTCTGTATCGCGCCGTCCGCGGAAGAACCCGTTCGGAAGAGGGGGGGCCAACGGGGGCTGCGGTCACGGGGGTTGTCAGGCACCGCGGGATAAAATTGAGACGGACTCATTCATTGAAACGAGATCGACCTGTCAAATTTCCTTTGACAGTTAACCCCGACATGAGGCCCCCCGTCACCCGGTGTCAGGGGTTTGCATTCTTTAGTGTCTTTGGTGCGTCTAGCTCGCTGCAGTTTACATGGCTTGCATGGGTGGTATGCAGAACGCCAGACGCTAACAGACCGCGGAGAGAGTTTGGACTATTCAGACTTGGCATCTGATAGGCATATAGGGCATGGGCACATCCGACAGGCAACCCAACCCGTTACCCGATAGCGATAACGCGGGTGATGATAAACCTGATAGACACTGAGGCGAGACTCGGGAGGGGTGACGAACACATGCTAGGACTGGGGTTTTATGACGGCCTACAGGTGCCAAGGGCGGAGGGCAGCATTCCAGGTTCGTTGGTGAAACAGATTGCGTCGTACGGATACTGGGTGGTAGTGGTCGGGATGGGATCTTCGAGTCGTTCGTCTTGTCATTTCTTTTGACGTGCAAAGTCTAATTTGTCTGGACCTCTAGGCTTCTGGGGCGGCAACGACGGGTACCCATCCCACTCGTTATTCAACACTATTGATGTAGAGAGAATCAGATTTCTGATTTGTTTTTGAACAAGGATGGGTAGAAAACACAATCTCTCTGCCCGGGTCCGGGGTTGCTGCTTATCACATTCTAACTTTTGGGAACTCCTTTCTTTTTTCTTTCTTTTTTCGTTTCGGCGTCACATTCGGACGCCTCTTGCCGCGGGTTGTGGGAGAGTTTTTGGAAAGACGGCGCCGTGGAAGCGGTACGAAGTATCCGTATGCAATCAAATATTCACTACGGGTACCAATACCGCGCCGAGCTACTCCGTATCCTACTGTCTCACTGTGGACTCTATACAATCTGATAGGTCTGACAGATGACATGTAGTTGCGGAGCACCGCAACGGCGCAACGGGTTAGAACTTGGCAACAGGATAAAACGGCCTTCACTCCGACTGAGAGGAACAGCAGTACCCGCTGCCTGTCAATGTCATAGCTGCGCCGGCCCGGCCGGCAAGCTCCGAAAGAGGAATGGGAGGAACTGTGGAGATTGGGACGCGTAAAGAAGAGAGAGAGAGAGCACGGAGGACCAGACCTGGAAATGGTCAACCACTGGCCGCATCCGCTGCTCGTCCAGAAGCAGAAACAAAGGCCCTTTCACACCAAGGACGGAGGCGAAACGCGGAAACCTTTCTTGATTCAATCTGGTCTCGCGAGGTTACTTAACTAACCGAACGCCGGTTCGGGGATCGCCTCAACTACCGAACTTTGCCGAAGACATTCTAGGAAACGCAGGGAGAGCTTTACTTTGACTACATGCACCACGAGTCCGCGATAGCCGTCTCATCTTCAACAAGACTCTTTCTATTCATACGGAAAAAGAAATGCTTCACCAGAGAGGAGAGGGAGACGGGTTACGGTATTATGGGCGGGAGGATTTCCAATTGGGTCTCGAAGATGCAATGCGTTCCCACTCGTCAAACTCCTCTCTCTCCCCTTATTCCCAGCCAGCGGGCCTGCAGGCTGCGAAGCTGCTGAAGAAACCTGAACCGCAGGAGTTCCGCAAATGCTGAAGAAACCCTCTCCAGCCCCTGCCTTTTCAACCAGGGGGAGGAGGGAGGCAAATCCACCAGAAACTGGCAGGGCCCCTTGCCACGCCATGAGGCCGGTGGGCTTTTGCCAATGCTTTCCCTCGATTCCTCGAGGCAAGTCGTCACTTGTCAGTGTCAAGACTAGCGAAAAAGCACGTGGCCCGCGTTCTATGTGGTAGAGTCGCAATGAGTTTGCTGATTCATGTTTTGTCTCCGGTCCCCGGCAGGCAGGATTACGATCTCGACCGGGCCACGCGTGCGTTGGTAATAAAAAAAAAAGCCGGGAATTATCTTTGCCTCTATTCATTGGGGGCCGTCCCGATTCAGACTCTTCATAATCAAAGGATAGTCCGTACTGCTACTTTTTTCCCTGGCTATTACGCGAGCTTTTACGCGAAACGTCACTGGGTTACCATTTTGTCACCCCCCTGAGCCCTGCTTCATATGACAAAACCTAGGTGGGCAGCTTTTTCTTTTCTTTTTTTTTCTCCAGCCAAAAAGCACGCAAGTGGTCGACATCTGCCGCGTTGCATTTGGAATGCCACTATGGCTAGCCAGGGGTAGGTGAGGCTTTGCTGCGCTGATCTTCATCCGGGGGGACCCTTGTCACATATTGCCTACTACGGATATGGGCCTACGCACTACGCATGCTAACGTAGGCGGCCAAGTTCCGGTAGGTTGACGCGGTTTTGACGAAGCACTGAGCAC